TTTGGATTTTGAAATCTCACTACCGCCAATACCAGAGTCTGAAAATAAAAGTTGAAATTATATATTCTCATTTTGGAATTTCAAATCTCACTACTGCAAAAACCTCTAGTTTGAAAGTATTTACATTTTCTAATTTCGAAAAAAAGGCATTTAATAATCTGAAAAGTGTAAAGAAAATGTACAAAAAATAGCCTTTAAAACCTTCAAAACCATTTTCTTTTTAAAAAAACATAAAATTTTTGCTCAAAAAGAAGGCATTTTATACAAACACGACGTTTATTGGGTAAAAACAAACAGACACCAGACAGACAATTAAAGTATATCTATAGAATAGACTTGGCTTTTAGGGCGCTTCGCGTCCATCTTCAATGGCTTTATCTGGGAGCATCTTTTTTTTGTATAGTATATATAAAAAATTTGCGGATTTAATAATATTTTTTCGCGCATTTTTAAAATTTTACAAAAATGAAAAACTTTTAAACACAAGTTTTTTTAAATTTTGATCATTCATAAACTTTCCCTCGGGTCACGTGAGGTCCCACACAAAATTTGGGCCCAATATCGACCTATTATTTATTATCTATATACCTAGAAAATGAATGGTTCCATCTTCCAATCTCTCCTCTGAATAGAAAATATCAAGAAACAAATTAAGACGAATAAAGAATTCAATTAATAAAACAAAACTAAACAAACAAATTTAAATATTTGGAAAAAAAAGCTGCAAACATAAACAGCTGTTTAGAAAACCCGTCTTAAAATTAGATTGGCATGTTTAAAGTAAATTGTTCAAACTAGTAAATTTTAAAAAAATGACGGCTCCTTTACACTGCACAGCAAAGTACAGTAATGTACTGCATTAACAGCTTTGTCTGTTAATTAGTTTCAGGTCGTCTTTCTTTTCCGAACAGTCTTGTTAAAAGAAAAATGGTAAATCTTTACAAACTTGATATTTCCCTATATTTGCTCTCGTTTCATGAACATTCTCTCTCACTTAATAAATAATATATATATTCATATCATCCTGACTTCTATAATCTTTAGATATAATTGAAAAACTGATCAAAAAGATATCTTGTAGAATTTAATATTTTGAATCTTATACAGTGAAACCCTTAATAAGGAATACATCGAAAGAATTCATCAAATGTCGTACTCTTCACTTTCCGATAATGGAATGTTGCAGATATTTAGTTTTTTAATTAAATGATTATATGGAACCCTTTAAAACCGTTCCCGTATATTCATGGCTATTTATTCATTTTCGCAAATACTGAAATTTACGTAATATAGTATGAAACTCATTGTAAAATTGTCAAGACGACATTTGATCAATTCTTCCGATGTATTTGTTATTAAGGGTTTTACTGTAATGAAAATTAAATTTTCTTGAAAGTAAATTATAAATCTTAAAATTTCATTACAAATTATAGAATAGATATCTGGAAATTTTATCATAGAATTCAGATATATATATATCTTCAAATTTTATTGTAGAATTGAAATTTGATTATAAGTATATGCAGTAGATCAATATCGTAATATATTTTTTAATAAAAATAGATATCTCGAAATTAATTTATATAGTATAGATATCTCAAAATCAACTTAAAATAATTTTAGCTTATTAACTTTTATTTCAAAATAAAACCCGTTCATGTTCTGCGCAAAATTGCTAATTTTTATGATAAGTCGTATGTTGTCCAATTTGGATCTGTAGGTCATTGAATTCCGTGAACCTTAGTTTTTTTCATAATTACGCACATAAAAAATAGTATTATAAAGGCGCATTTTACCTTATATTATAGATATCTTGAAATATTATTACAAAATATAATTATAGATATCTTGAAATATTATTACAAAATGTAATTAAAGATATCTTGAAATATTATTACAAAATGTAATTATAGATATCTTGAAATATCATTACAAAATGTAATTATAGATATCTTGAAATATCATTACAAAATGTAATTATAGATATCTTGAAATATTATTACAAAATGTAATTATAGATATCTTGAAATATCATTACAAAATGTGAATGTTTCCTATTATTATCACTTTACGTTTATTTAAGATATTATTATTATCAGAATATATTATATATCCATATGATCCAGGTATCAAACTTTAACACTTAATATACATTTAAAAATTAAAAAGATTTTATGCCAATCTGATTTTTTTTTAATATTCATTAATATGGAATATATTTGTGCCTGTGTGCATATCAACTGTACCACCGCCGAAATACACCTGAGCAGAAAAACTTTTAAAAAATCTTTTTTAAGATTTGAGATAGAAAGCAAAAATCAATATGATTTACTGTATAGAATAATAATATTCATAGTTTACTTTTTTTTTTGGGGGAATTGAAAATTTATTTACGTACATAATTAACTTATGGAAAATGGGGGAAATGGTGAATACAATTAGTCAAAAATATAAAAAATGTGTCCTTTGTTATTAATTCAATGAAAACATGCAAGGTGGAGGAAGATAATGGAAACTTTTATCAAATTATCTTTTTATATTGGTTTTTACACAATCAAAACTAAGCAGGGATTAAGTCAAAAAGGGCAAAGAAAGATCTAAGGACTTTTGATCATGAATGAATGTTTCAAAATGAAATGGCTTTCTCATGACTTTTCGTACAACGATGAATGTTTTGAAGGCCAAACTATTCAAAGGAATGCGATGCTAAGAAAACTTTTTGAAATTCCGAAAAAATGTAATTTTTTCAAATCTTTTGATTAAATTTTCTTATCCCGAAGAAAAATTGAGAACAACATAACATCCCGCAACATTAGAAAAATAAAAGAGACTGTAGACGTAATTTCATGTGACCAATTCACAACAGCATCCTTTAAACCTTCCACTGACAAAGGTTGATGTAATTTTCCATATTTCTCTATTATTGCAGTTATTTAAAACTTTGTTTGTAAGGTGTATAATTATAAGAAATAGTCATTACCTCTCATACCTGGCCATTAATATCCCTCATTACCTCTTATACCTGGCCATTAATATCCCTCATTACCTCTCATACCTTGCCATTAATATCCCTCATTACCTCTCATACCTGGCCATTAATAGTATTGATCATGGAATAAATTTATTTAACCTTCTTCAATAACGCTGTTGAGGATTTTTTGATGATAAGTGCACCCAGACCTAAGGAAAATATTATTTTAAATAATTTTATCCTAAAAAGATTAAGAGGGGGAAAAAGTAGAGTAATTGCTTGAAAAAGATTATTTTTTTCTAAATTGTTCCGACTTTCAAAATGTCACCTGTGGGATATCCAAATAGTTTGTAGAATGAGAGAACTAGAAAATCAGGTTTTACCTTGCTTAGGTCTAAAAAAATCGATATTAAAATGTCAAAATATGAAAATGGCGTTAACAGGAAATTGAGTTTTATTCGTCCTCTCATTTTGTAAAGCTTATTTATTATTAAATAAAATGGATCAGATGAACTAAATTTTCAGATCAAAAGTTTAATATGATTCATCCAAAACTTCAAAAGAAAATCTAAACTATCTTTTGACTTTATTTCACTCTAAATTCAATTCCTTTACTCACTCACTTATTCACTCACCTACTCACTCACCTACTCACTTTCTAACTCACCTCACTCACTCACTGACTTATTCACTAACATTCAATCAACGACCCATTCACTCACTCACCAATTGTATTTGTGGATAAAAAACATGATGTATCGAGAAGAACAAGGTTTCTAGGGTTCTCTTGAATCTTTTCAACCCACCTTCAGAAACCAAGCCAAATAAGTGTATTGTTAAATATTTTCATCAATTTTCTCATTTTAATCTAATCATATTAAAGCATTCCAATTCTTATCTAGTAAAAAAAACAATCTGACCAAATCAACCAATCCAATCCAATCATCTCATCTCAGAATAATATTCAATCTCATGCAATCCTATGCAATCCAATACTATCCAATCCAATCCTATCCAATCCTATCCAATCCTATCCAATCCTATCCAATCCAATCCTATCCAATCCTATCCAATCCTATCCAATCCTATCCAATCCTATCCAATCCTATCCAATCCTATCCAATCCTATCCAATCCTATCCAATCCTATCCAATCCTATCCAATCAAATCCTATTCAATCCTATCCAATCCTATCCAATCCTATCCAATCCTATCCAATCCTATCCAATCCTATTCAATCCAATCCTATCCAATCCTATCCAATATTCAATCTTATGTAGTCCTATGGAATCCAATGTTAAGATATTCAGCTTGTTCCTGAGGTCGAATTTGAATCCATTGTAGTTGGACATTGCAGGGAAGCAAAATAGGTTCTTAGAATTACAGGCTTTTTGGTTCTCATGTTCGTCTCCTTCTTCTTCTTCTCCTTCTCTTTTAACTCCTTCTCCTGTTCCTTCTTCTTCTTCTCCTTCTTTTGCTTCTTCTTGTTTGTTTTGAACATCTCTTGTGGTTTCTGCTTAAAGAAATGAACACCGCTTTATTTTATGTACATGGACAGACAAGTTCAAGTATCAATAGGATTAGAATTAAAAATATTCAATTTAAAAAAATGTATACTTGCAATCAATGGTTTTCCTACTTTTAAATCCCGAATCCAGGTTTTGTAGGATCCCCTCTAAGTCTTGATCCTCCCAAACCAAGATCTTTGATCCTTTATCCAGTGCATACTCTCGTATTCCTAAACAGGGATTACATGGTCAACACACTAAATGAACTTTTATTGGATTCTGCATGCTGTTTACTAACCTACTGAGCTTTTATAAGATTCTGCATGCTGCTTACTAACCTACTGAGCTTTTATAAGATTCTGCATGCTGTTTACTAACCTTAACCTGCTCAGCTTGAATGGGATTCGGCATGCTGTTTACTAACCTACACGGCTTTTATAAGATTCTGCATGCTGTTTACTAACCTTAACCTGCTGAGCTTGAATGGGATTCTGCATGCTGTTTACTATCCTACTGAGCTTTTATAAGATTCTGCATGCTGTTTACTAACCTTAACCTACTGAGCTTGTATGGGATTCTGAATGCTGTTTACTAACCTACTGAGCTTGTATGGGATTCTGCATGCTGTTTACTAACCTACTGAGCTTGTATGGGATTCTGCATGCTGTTTACTAACCTACTGAGCTTGTATGGGATTCTGCATGAACAACGAATGAGCTGTTTATATCCCAAGGGAAGTATTCTCCGATAGTTTTTAATCCACTGGTTGCCCCTAAATCATAAATATGATTATTTAAAAATGTTGTAGTTTTTTTTCTGTACAGTGTGATCTATATAACAACAGATATCTCGTTGTCTTATATTTTCTAACTTTAAGTAAGAAATTTCAATAAGGAATTTCGCAATTAGTAATTAAACTATTTTTTTACAAGTGGCCAGAGAATTATTAAGATACAGTAGTTGCAACTTGCAACATGGGTAAATTACAAAATAACTTTTCTGAAATGAAAGGAAGAACAAAGAACAAATTCATTCCACATTATTCTGGTTCTCACTGTAGATTGGAAAGATTTTTTCAGTGCAAAAACTCATCCCCGTTCGTTAATGGCAATTTTTTAAAATTATTAATTTAATATTAAGAAAGTGAGTGTTTGCCACAAACTCAGATTTTTAAATACTTATGTCTTCGCAAACCGATGTTGTAGTATTTAAACCTCTGAATGAAACAATACACAATATGGTTGCAATGTGTTATTGATTAGATAATTTGAGTTTGTGGTAAGAACTCGGATCCTTGAACCTGAATTAAAGACTACAGAATACTCCTCCTGATCTGCGGCTAGGATCTCTAGAACCTTCTTCCTTGTTTTATCTATTCTATCCTCTTCTCCAGTGTGCGGGTTTAGACTAGAACATTCACATTTTGTATTAAAAGCGTATACAGGACAGGGGAGGGGGGAAGGCAGACCCTCTTAAAATGATTCCTAAATACTTTCTGCCACCATTCTCTCTCCATAACTTAAAGTAGTGCTATCTTTACTTATTCTGCATTTTTTACATACTCTACATGATTTTCATGAGGTACTACCTGAACCTACTCTGCATCCCTCCATGATCTTCATGAGGTACTACCTGAACCTACTCTGCATCCCTCCATGATCTTCATGAAGTACTAACTGAACCTACTATGCATCCCTCCATGACCTTCATGAAGTACTACCTGAACCTACCCTGCATCCCTCCATGACCTTCATGAAGTACTACCTGAACCTACTCTGCATCCCTCCATGACCTTCATCAAGTACTACCTGAACCTACTCTGCACCCCTCCATGAACTACATGAAGTACTACCTGAACCTACTCTGTAACTCCAACATAACCCTCTCTATCTGGGACTGGGAGTAGAGAGCAGAACCAGCATGATCTGAACACATTTACATTTGATTTAAAAAAAAAACCTGGTTTTAAAGGGAGTGTCGACGCAATTTCCAGCTTTTTATAAAAAAAAAATCCAAAATTAATTTGAGTTTAAAATGAACTGTGCACAACTGAACAAACGTTCCATAAAAATCATGCCGCCCAACCTTTCTCCATCAAAAGTAATTTGAAATTTAAGAATAAGAAATACAAAATTATTTTTTGTCTTGATGCCATTTATCTGAAATGGTTTGAAGTATTCGTGTTCTCAAATATGAAAAGTGATTAGTATTTTTACCTAAGTACGTACTGCCATCAAGATGTTTGAATTCTTTCTCAATATTTCTCAGAACATCATCAGAATATATTCCTGCCATTTCTCTAAAACATGAATACTGCACTGCTATAGTGCTTCACTCATAGGCGGTTTCAGGGGGGGGGGCAGTCCGTTACCCCCCCCCCCTGAGTGAAATTAGGGGATTTTTACAAGAGACAATATTATGAAAATAAATTTTAAGTAAGATATCAATTATCATGTTCCTACACATATTAAATCTCTCCTGCGTCGAAATGTTGAAGTGTTGAAGTGTTGAAGTATTGAAGTATTGAAGTGTTGAAGTGTTGAAGTGTTGAAGTGTTGAAGTGTTGAAGTGTTGAAGTGTTGAAGTG